TGAAGTTATAAGTTATAAATTATGTAAAAAAGTAACGAATTTATGTAATTATTATGCTAGTTCCTATAGAGTATTCGAATGTTTTGCCAACCAGCAATATGGCGCCCATATGATAATACACTGATAAGCGCTTGAAATCTGGCTTCACTTTTTCCTATGTGCAACGCCCCGAGTACCTTATCTAGTATAATATAGATATCTGTGACATGAGTATGTGTGTGTGCGAAGGCGGCAGCTACACGCAAACCCTACGCGCTTGTTGTCTTCGTTGTAATGCCTTCCTCGTAACTCTAAGGGAATGGAGGAGAATGAGAGTGGGCTGTATACAATGGGGTTATATATTTGAATTCGTTTAGAATAGTAAGGTAGTTAACAACGACGTTTTACAATATATGAAAATGTGCAGAACAACTTTATTTCTATGTTCTGCAATGGTAATAATTATCAACTAGGGTTAGTCATGAAAAATAGTAATGCACGACCACAGTCCGATCGGCAGATCAATAAATCAATTTAAATAATTAATTTAGTAAAACATAAAATATACGCTTCGCGTGACACGAATAATAAAATAACAATAAACAAAGCGTGGGTACGACCTGATATCAGTGTTGACTATCGGTGATAACACGGTGACGGTGTGGTTGCTCCGGAACGACGAAACAGCACATGTAGGTAGTCCTGATGCGACAGTACTCCGACCATCGGTTAACGTGAAATCGGCTGACGGCTTAAGGACCTCGTGGATTTCGGGATTGATGAATTGTGGATAGCTGATCTGAATTCGACATAAGCTCGAACGCGAACTCCGGTCGCGATATAATTGCGGGCCGTCRCGTATGCACGGTATATGCCGACAAACAGTGTGAAGAAAAAAAAACTTAGTTCGCGGTCTTGGCGCAGACGGCAGCAAGATACGATTCGTGTGTGTGCTGACGACACAACACGAAAACGATCAAAACAAAACGATTCGGACGCACGGAACCAAGATGGTGTTGACGGCGACGGCGCACCGGTTCGCGGCATGGAACAGTTCCGGTAACGCATGTAAAGGCCAAGACGGCTAGATAACGAAGAACACTAACAACGGCGGCGTGAACCGGCGACCGGAGGCTAGGCGCGACAGTATCGTTCCCCTCCTTGGTGTCGGCCGCGGTTCACCAGGATTCCAACTTCTACATCGCGGGACATGACAGTCGCGTCGCGCGAAATTTAAAATAGGCGATTCGGTATCCAACATTTTCTCCCCGCGTTGAAAGACCAAGCGTGTTTCAAGGAACCATCATTGCTGGAGACTGACGTTGAAAATCAGACCGTACCCATTACACTCGCGTTAACAATAAATACATAAACAAAACAAATATACATCAAAAATTATAAAAAGGAAGGATGGAGGATGTATGAGTGGATGTCAAGGAAGTCTATTTATCGGTTGGCAGTTTAACCACTTTGACCACCGGTCTCTTCATCTCCCCATCTTGGGTGTTGATCGTAATTACACGGACCGTCAGGACCCGGATGGACCGCTGTGATGCGCCCCATACGCCACACGGAAGGGGGTTGATTGGGTGCCTCAACAATGACTAGATCGTCGACCTTCAAGTTGTCCTGGATAGTAGTCCATTTCTGACGACCCTGCAACGTATTCAAGTATTCCTGGGACTAGCGCTTCCAGAATGACTGATGAAGTTGTCGAAGGAGTTGCCAACGTGTGAGTCGATTCATTGGAACCTCAATGATGTTCTCCTCCGGCACTGCTAGGAGTGGCTGTTCGATGAGAAAATGTCCAGGTGTCAAGGCTGTGAAATCGTGTGGGTCCATCGAAGCTGGAGTGAGTGGGCGCGAGTTTAGAATTCCTTCGACTCGAACACACAATGTCTCGAGCTCTTCATAGGTGAGTACCTGAGTGCCAATCACTCGTTTCAAGTGGAATTTCACACTTTTGATACCCGCCTCCCAGACACCGCCAAAATGCGGTGCGGCTGGTGGATTAAAATTCCAGTTACAAACGATGCGTGCGGATATTCGAGTCTGAACGTCCTTGTTGCGAAACAGAAGTTTCAATTGACGATCGGCGCCAACATAGTTCGTGCCGCAATCAGAATACACATGTGCTGGTACACCCCGGCATGCAATAAATCGGTCTAAGGCGGCGAGAAAGGCGTCAGTCGTCAAATCAGATACAATTTCAACATGTATGGCTTTAGTGGCCATACATACAAATAATGCGATGTAAACTTTAGTGGTCTTCGTGTTTCGTCTTTTGCATTCTTTAATGAGGTATGGTCCTCCATAATCCGTGCCCACACTTGAAAACGGGCGTACCGAATGAACCCGAGCTTCTGGTAGTATGCCCATATGAGGTGTTGGATGTAGTGCTTTGTGTCGAGTGCATGTGACGCATTTAAAAATGACACGGCGGACGGCCTCTCGACACGACAAAATCCAGAATTCCTGACGTAGCATCGCGACAATAAGTTTCGGTCCTGCATGTAATAATCTTTGATGAAATGCGGTGATGAGTAGTGATGTAACATGAGATTCTTTCGGCAGTAAATACGGGTGTTTCGCATCATCACTCAACATTGATCGCTGCAGCCGACCGCCTACTCGAATTAAACCAGTACGATCTAGAAAAGGAGCTAGTTGAGCCATAGTAGGAGGGGTTATGATATGGTTGGGTTTGCCCAGTTGTTTCAGGAGTTCTTGAAAATGCGTCCGCTGAGTGACTCGGACGGCAAGTCGCATAGCCCGCTGCAATTCATCTGGCGTGAGACAGTCTGCGTCGGTAGGGCGCTTAAAAATTACTCGATGAATGAAACGCAAGGCATATGCTAATGCTCGTTGAAGACGAAACCACGATGAAAATCTAAGTAAAAAGTTATCAAAGTTCGGTGCTTCACGTACAACCAACACGCACGCAGACGTAGTCTTCATTTCAGGTAAGTGTTGAGGACTGAGCGATTGGATGAATGGCCCTGGCCAACTCGCTTCCGGGAAATGTATGAACGGTGGACCTTTCCAATGCAAGCTACATGCTACGAGGTCGTCAGGCAACCATCCACGTGATGAAGGGTCAGCCGGGTTGTCCATAGTAGATACATGAGACCACTCACACTCTGGGAGTAGGGAACGGATCTTGGCTACTCGGTTGGTAACAAAAATCTTAAAAAACTTTTGGTCAGTAGTGAGCCATGACAACACTATAGACGAATCTGTCCAAGCACGCACTTTTGACACCGGAACGATGGACGTGATTTTCAGGTAGAGCCGATGTAACAATTGAGCCAGTAAGAGGGCTGCGCATAACTCTAACCTAGGTATAGTGAGAGACTCGTCCTTTTCACTACCTTTCAAAGGGGCGACCTTGGTCTTGCATGTCACTAGGGAGATGGACACCTTGTCCGTCCTATCGACAACGCGGAAGTACACCGTAGCAGCATAACCCTTCTGTGATGCGTCGGCAAACCCTAACAATTGGACATCCTGAAATCCTCTGGTGTCGATATGGCGAGCGATTTCTATGTTGCCTAACGACGGTAACTCTGCCAAGAAATGATGCCAAGCTGTCTGTAGATGTAGAGGAAGCGGAGTGTCCCATTCTAATTGTGTCTGCCAAAGTTGTTGCATGAATGATTTCGCCCACAATAACATCGGACCGAGAGCACTTATGGGGTCAAACAATCTAGCAATAGCAGATAATACCCCTCGCTTTGTATTGGGCGTGTCCTCAACATTCGTGTGATAACCAAAGGCATCGGTAGCGGGGTCCCAATGTAGGCCGAGTACTTTCAATGATGGTTCATCTTTAGGTTCGAAGGAAGGACAATTAGCTCGATCTTCAGACGGAATGCAGTCCAAAATCCTGGAGCTATTGCTACACTACTTTTTCAGGCTACAACAAGCTGAACGAAGCAGTCCTATTGTATGATTTTGCACCTGACTCAATTCCGCTTCCGTATTCCGTTCTACCACAATGTCGTCGACATAGGTATGGTTAGTTAAAACGCCCTTAGCGGTGGAAAATAGTGGTTCCGCGCAGGCGTCCAAAGCGTGCAAGACACGTATGGCCAAGAATGGAGCGGCACTCAAACCATATGTAACTTTCAATAATTCGTACTCCTGGATCTCCTGTTCCGGGGAATGTCGCCAAAGGATGTGTTGAAACACGCAGTCTTCATCACGGACCTTGATTTGACGGTACATTTTAACAATGTCGGCAATGAAAATATATTTGTATAACCGGCATGTGAGTAAGAGTTCACTTATGTCATTTTGTAGTTTCGGTCCAACACAAAGAATATCATTGAGAGAAACTCCTGACGATGACTTCGCTGACGCGTCGAAAACTACCCGTATTTTAGATTTATCGCCATCCCGCTTCACTACCGCGTGGTGAGGTATGTAATATTTACCAGGTCGGGTAGCAACCTTCATTTGTCCTAACGCCAGGTAGTCATTCATGAAAGATCGATATGACTCATACAACAGCTTGTCCTTTTGGAGGCGATTTTCCAAGTTTAAAAGACGTTTCAAAGCTAAAGATCGGGATTCTCCGAGTTGACATGATGACGAATTAATTCCGGACTTGGGAGGGGATATCTGAATACCATCGTCGTTAGTTAAAACGTGGTGTCGAAACGGTAGAGCAACACAAAACCGCCCATCTGCATCTCGTGATGTAGATTTGGTAAACCACCTCTCACACAGCTCATCTTCCGTGGTAGGAACTGCGGGAGCCACGGGTTCTTCAATGGACCAAAACCGATGTATCAGGGTGTCTATCGACGGACTAGATGTAAGCAACAATGATGTACGCGGGGCGGAAGCCCTACTAAGCGGGTTAACTAATCCCATTATAATCCATCCCAGATGGCTGTCCATGGCTGAAGGAAAATCGGAAGTGTGTTTTACTATCGACTCAGAACGGATAAGAAACGGATATAAATCACCTCCAAGTAGCATGTCGATCTGAGACGGAGTGTCGAACTGGGGATCGGCCAATACTAAATGTTGATATCGTGTGCGTACCTCTGGCGGCAGTGGCGTAGACGGCAGTATAGACGTTAACTTTTGAAGTATTATTAACTCGTGGCAATTAAATTTTGGACTCGATGTATGGTGTGGTATGAACGAACAAGACGTGCTACCTCTAACTTGGGTAACCGGACTTTGAGATAGACCAACTATTTCACTTTCACATTTCCGTCGTGATAAACCAATGCGAGCTACGCAATCCGTAGTGATTGCCGAAATTTGAGATCCACTGTCCAATAATACGCGCACAAAATGATATTTTCCATGCGCATCTAGAACCCGAACAATGGCGGTACCCAATAACACCGTAGTACCCGACGCTGTCATGCCCGAAAACTTAGTATTGACGCTTCCACCCTCTCCACCATCGGTTGAGACGCGTTCCTGAATGGTGGTGGTCGTAGGTTCTGATTCTGATGGAAAATGTAACAAAGTGTGATGACGTTGTTGACATTTTCCACAAAGGTATTTGGATTAACATGTGTCTACCATGTGCGTCGAACTCGGACATGAAAAACATAATTTATTTGTTCGAACGTATTCCCGATGTCGTGGCACGGAAAATGTTTTAAATTCTGGACAGCGGTATACAAAATGTTCACCACGATTACAAATAGTACAATGATTTGCCTTATTTAATTTTGGCGAATACGACGATGAACCTTTAGCCTTATGAACGTTGCTACTTGCGGCGGTAAAAGCGAACTTCGGTACGTTGGATTTTTGAAACTTATTAGATCGAGTTTCAAACTTGTCAACACCCTGTATGTTTTCCAATATCTTGACACGTTTTTGAACAAAAGTAACAAGAGTATCAAAATTCGGAATAGTGGCTTGACAAATATCCGCTTCAAACAACTGACGTGTTTTTGGATCTAATACACGTGAACCCAAAAAAAACAACATAAAACCCGCGAGATCTTCGACTCCGAGTAATTTTAACGTAGAGACATTTTCTTTGAAAATATTTAAAAAGGTAGTCAGAGCAGGTACTGATTCTTGAGCGATAGGTTTGAAAGCGAAAAGCTTGTCCAAATGAGCAGTTGCGAGCAATCGTTTATTTTCGAATCGGTCTGTGAGCGCTGCCCACGCAACATTATAATTCGCCGCCGACAATGGAATTGATTTGATAACAGATAATGCAGAACCGGTCAAACTCTGTGACAAAAAATGAAATTTGTGTACATTGTCGATATTGGAATCTTCATGTACCAGCGATTTAAAAGTATCACGGAACGCACACCACTTTGTAATAGAACCGTCGAAAGACGGCAATTCAAATTTCGGAAGCGCGCTAAACGATTGTCGAATCGGCATCGGTTGTATAGCCACGGGAGCATTCGACGTGCGATCAACTATTTCGTAAATTTCGTCAACACTAGCTTCGACCGTATCCGTTACGGGTGAATCGATCTCGTCGTACTCATCGGAACGACCGACAGTGACCAATGAATTAATAATAACACTTTGTTCGGCTTGAAAACGAGAGAAAAGATTATCTAATCGTTTTACACTTGATAATAATTGTTCCCGTTTCGGGAGGTCGCTCATAGACAATCTCGCGATGTTCAAAATATCAGATATTGATTTCTGTGCGCGGTTTACGTGCAATTCGCGCGCATTCCAGCGCTTGCTCGGCTGTTTCGGGATCCATTTTTTTAGTTTTTGGCGGCATTATCGACCAGTACTAGAACAACGTGTCGACGTTAAATTGGCTAACAGAACAATTTGATACGAAGACAACGATTTTGTGAACGATCCGGACCGTAGGACCAAAGTCGCGTCGCGCGAAATTTAAAATAGGCGATTCGGTATCCAACAATTATACTTTTTTCGTATTTTATACATTTACTCAGACACCTACCGTGAACAGTGTGGTATGGCGGTACCCACTTGCCACTTGCCACTTTAAAAAATTTAAACGACATGAAGTTATTATAGGAAAGGTAGATAAACATATAAAAGATAATTAAACCTTGTTATTCCAAAGCTAAWGGTAATATAGTGATTTATGGTAATTTAATTTACCATTATTCAATTATAGGTGTGGGAACAACAAATTTCAGAAATGTTGAAAAAAAATGGAGAGCAGGAAAAAAAAATTGCCATACAAAAAGGAAATTTATATAAAGGAACCCCTTACATCACAGTGATAGGTGATGGTGGTTGGGCTAAAAGAAGTTACGGACATGGTTTCAATTCTCAATCAGGCGTGGTAATTTTAGAAATCTTATAAGTTATAACTAGGGATCGGATTTATATGTATTTAATATTTATGAAACCAAAATATGTATTTTACTAATACTTAATTATTTTTTTTTTTTTTTAAATGTAAATATAGGTATCTAGGTAGTTAGTCGGATATTTTATGTCAAAGGGGAAATATGTATACGCATATGCATATAAATAATCCCTATAGATATAAAATTTATATAATAATATAATATATAATATATTTGTATTTAATAATATTATAGAAAAAAACGGTAGTTTTTGCCAAAAACCAGCTTTCTACTAGTTTTAGATAGGTAATCATTTTTAGATTCTGAACGGAGTGATGAATGTATTAATTTTACAAAGATGTGTTTTTTTTTTTATTAATTTTTGTGTCTGTCATCACGTTTTGGAGTAGTAATAATGCTCCGATTTTTGACTTCAGCCCCTCTTTGAATAGGAAAATTCATCTTGTTGGTACTTTGGGGTAAAAATAAACATTTTCCAACAGTTTTCAAAAAAATCGAGAAAAACAAAAAAAAAGTGACAGAAAAACGGCAATTTTACGAAAAACCACTTTTCGACAAAATCGATTTTTTGACAAAATATTTAAAATATGCAATAATAATTTTTTTAATTTAAAATCCTTATATCACGAAATACATATATGTATCGAATCTGATTTATTTTATCTTAACTTTACGTATGATATATATTTAACTATACGCAAGAACTATTAAGAATAGTTTTTATTTTATAGGGAATAATTATTGGTGCAGAAACAAAAAAGCCCGTMTATGTAGGTGTAAGAAACAAATATTGTAGTACATGTTCTTCTGCATCCAAAAATAATAAAAAAATAGATCATTTGTGTTTCCGAAATTATGATGGTTCTTCAACAGGTATGGAACAAGATATTATTGTAGAAGGCTTTCGCCAAAGCCTAGAACAACATGGTTTAATATATAAATATTATATTGGCGATGGTGATTCAAGTGTGTATGCCAGAATAGTTGAAAAAGTATCGTATGGTCGAGATGTTATCAAATTAGAATGTGCTAATCATATAACTCGTAATCTCCACGATGGCCTACGAAAATTGGTGGCAAATAAAMATTTCCCATTACACGTGCKCAAWGTTTTAACTTATGGTTCTCCATCTCCCTTAGAAAGATTGGTTAAAGGGGTACGGACTGCAATTAAAGAGTGTGGAAAATCACATAATGTAAACATACTGCGAGAAGATTTAAAAAATGCACCATATCATGTTCTCGGTTCTCATAAAAATTGTCGTCCTACATATTGTACACGGTCAAATATGAATGAAAAGGACAATGTGCCATTAATGGAAAGTGGMAAAATAATGTCAGAAATTTTAGCAATTGTTGATAAAGYAACGAGAAAAGCCGATCGTCTAGTTTTCAACACTACAACTAATATAGCTGAAAACTTTATGAGCTTAGTTGCAAAATTTACTGGCGGTAAAAGAGTAAATTATACCAAAACAGGCTCATATCAAAGAAGAGTATTAGGTGCAACCCAAGTTCACTCTAGGGGCCAGTCTTGGCATTTAAGTCCAWGGAAAAAATTATCAGGAAAAAGTCCCGGCAAGTTTTTTAAAAAAAATTTAACGAGGCGTATTGCAATGACAACTTTAAATTCAAAGTATAAAAAACAAWAAAAAATTAGATTYAAAGTAAGTGGAGGTGACAAAAGTACAGTGAATCATGATTTTGATTACGGTCCAGACGCTGCTGGGCTGGATATGACTGAAGAGGATTTTAAATTTAACGTCAATAAAAAGTTAGAAGAGTTAAAAAAAAGATTCTTTTTCAACCGAAACAATCGAACAATTACAAAAAAACACTATTGGTCAACATGATAATGTAGTCTGGCATGAAGCAAAGAAAAATAGACTCACCGCTTCTAATTTCGGGACAGTTATTTGTAGAAAATCAACTACATCTTGTCATAATTTAGTGAAAACATTATTATACAGTAAAAATATTATTTCGAAACATATTGAATTTGGACGACAAAATGAAAAAGTGGTTATCCGACAATTCGAAAATCAGAATAACAAAACTGTAAGACCGTGTGGGTTGTTTGTTGATGAACAATATCCATTTTTGRGCGCAAGTCCCGATGGTTTAGTTGATG